ATATTAATTTTTTTTTTCTTTTTTCGCCTTTAGTGCATATAAAAAGTTGCATTAACATTGTATTAGAAGGATTTTTTTTTCACCACCTTTTTGTCTTTAGGGGTAGTTTGCCTATTTTCAACTTTACAGAAAAAATATATTGAGAAAACTTGTTTATTTTATTATTTTGAGCAACTTTTCTCTATAACTTTTTTTTTGTAAAGTTGAAAATAGGCGAACTACCCCTTAAAACAAAAAGGTGGTGGAAAAAAAATCTTTTTAATACAATGTTAATTGCACCTTTTTATATGCACTAAAGGCGAGAAAAGAAAAAAAAAATTAATATATACCCCTAAAAACTAAAATTTCCCTAAGAGAAGTGACTCCTCGCTGAATGGGGGTGAGTTACAAAAAAAGTTGATTGGGAAAAATTGTAGGAAATGTAATCTTATAAAACTTTTATGAGGAAATTTTTATTGTGAAAAAATTAATAAACTTTAAACTACTCCTATTGAAAAACGGCAGGGGGTGAGTAAAAACTTCATAAAGCAAAAATGTTGTATGTATTTTAGAAAAAAATTTCACGTTGGTTAAAATTTTTTATTTTCAATATAAAATTTCAAACGGCCCTTATGACCACAGACAACCCTTAATCAAAAAAGTCCTTAGATAAAAATTGTAGATCAAATAATTTTGCACATCTTTTATTTGAAACATTTTTTTGTAAAATCAATAGGTACCAAGTAATCGCCAATGGCGCACTTTCAACCCCTATAGCGCAAAACGCCAGAGGGGTGAATGTTTGATATTTTCGGTTTTATGATCACCCACCCGCCCCCTATCATCCCTGAAAAGTTCATTTGGGTAGGATTTTTTTTTTGCAATACATGTATTTTTCGACTATTTTCCTAGACTATTAAGGTTTCACTTCCACTGGGTGCGAACTGCACACTTTTTTTTTATAAGTTTGATGCCTATTTGATTTGTACCGTGCCTTATAAGTGCTTCAAAAGTAAAACGCCGAACACCGAAGGAATTTAATTTTTTTTACTGTCTCATTTGATTTGACTATCGATAGACAGTCAACGTTGACTCCAGGAATATCTTATGGGTTAGATTTTTTAGCGGCGTCCCTGGCGCCATAGGGCGGCATATTTCTTTGAAGCGCCTGCCGCAAAGAAATCAGTTTCGTCTGGAAAGACAGTGCAGTAGATATTTTTTATAAATTTGATTCCTATTTAATTTGTATAGTGCCTTATGTCTTATTTTATATAAAATTTTTTTATTAAATTTCTCGTACCCCGCCCGTGCTTCATTTATTATTTTGTAGAAATGGTAAATGCCCACGTTTGATTTGAGAATAAGTGAAAAAACTTTTTGAGGCGTGTTTTTTTTTACAACTTTTAGATCAAAATTTGGGTTAGTTTAGGCATAGAAAAAAATTGCGCGCCTCTGGGGCTTCCCCCCTGAGTGTGTGCACCGCCAACTTTTCCTCTCACCAGCAGCCACTGGATGGAAGGATTGAAGAACCAGCTCAATGAAGCAACAGCCGACTATAAAAGCATGATTTCTACTATTCAGCTTTTTAAGGGGGATAACAAGGTATTAATGTAAGAAAATAAGAAACTCCAACAGCAACTCAACAACTCAAAAATACATTCCTATCCTTACACCCCCGGAAAATCCCAAGAAGAAAGTAGTTATGGAAAGTCCGCACCTAACTCTCGGAAAATGCTTTTACTCAGTGACCAAAATGGCAAATATCTAATCTCCAATCGAAGTGTAAAACTTTTAAAGTGGAATCAATTATAAAACCGCGGGAGCCTCATTTGAAAATGTTGTAGTGAATATTGAGTTGCTAGTTTTAAGGATTATAGTGAGTTAGATTATGTTATTTTATGGGCTGGTAGTAATGATTTTTCTAGAAACAATTATCCTAGCATGAGGGTTGTTTTGCAGAAAATTCGGCAGTGTTCTCATACTAATTTAATATTTCTGTTGACGCCTATATAGCACCTTATACGAAGAAATAAGAATAGCATACTGAAATTTAATAATAAATTGGGAGCATTTTTGCATAAATTCAACCACTTTTCGGATAGATCAGTATCCTTTATTGATACAAACATTAATCAGGAAAAAATGAGCAATGTCAAAATTTCTGAACAAATTAGATAAGTATATTATGTCGTATATGAATATAAAAACTCCCTTTTTAAAACTCTCATTCATATTCCAATCACGAAGACTTTAAATAATAATAATTGTATGACTGGAATATAAGAGAGCACAACCGTGTTTTGTGCATTAAGACATGATATATCATGATATAGGGTGAAAGTACCTGTTGTCGGCCACTTAAGGCAAATTCTGGAATAAAATGGCGATTGAAAATTAGTGGATAGAGGGAATGGAATTTAAATTATGTTTTATGATACCTTGAAGACTATACAAATTTGCGCAAAAATGATAGGTTTAGACTAAACTAGGAGAAGAACTAGACGAAAATGATAATTTGAAACTTATTAAAGTGCGTTTTTTTTTAAAGATAAAAGTCAAAATGACATTCTGTTGGCAATAGAATGTTAAATTGTCAATGCTTTCAAATTTTTTATGTAGAAAAGGCTTGTGTTGCCAACATAGTTACTAGATTTTTGACTTGGGGAATTATCTTTAAAAAAAAAAAACGCACTTTACATTATTTATTCATGGAAATAATCATTAAATATTTTAGTAAAAATTTTGACAACATTATATGTAGTGCATGCAGGGCCATTTATCTATATTGTTTTCAATAAGTAATAAAAAAAGCAAATTGGATACTGAAAATGTGACGTAAATGATGCGATTATGTTCGTTTTGGTGTGAAACTTTCTCCGGAATCCGCCATGAAATTCGCTGCGGATTCTCCGTAACGAATCCGCTGCGAATAATTCGCGTTGGTTTGGGAGAGCCTTAAGGCTCTCCCAAACCAACGCAGAAAATTCGCAACGCCTACGAATATTCGCACCGCAGACGATTCCCAACAAATTGTTTTCACTGCGGTAAATAGGCAAGTTCAAACTGGCGTGGTTTTTTCCGGTTTGGCTGCGATTTATCTACGTTTTTATCCGCACGGAAACTCAGTTCGCAATCGAATGCGTTTTTGGTCCGATTTGCAGTAATTCCGCAACGTTTTAAAGTGAAAAATGATCAAAATGGAACAAATTATTGAATTAGTTCGAAAGTAGCCTCTACTATATGACCTTTCTCTTAACGACTATAAAAATGTGCGCAAAAAGGATGAGGTTTGGTCCAAACTGGGAGAAGAACTAGGTCAAAATTAAACTCTTTTCTTCCACTGCAAGGAACAATATTGCTTCTTCTTCATCCGATGATGTATATACATTTTTTTAGGCAAGAAAACAATATGTCTTTCTTTTTCAGCACTAGCACTAGCATTCAGCATTCAGCAAGCAAATTGGATACTGAAAATATGACGTAAATGATGCGAATATATTATTATATTCGCTTTGGTGTGAGACTTTCTCCGGAATCCGCCATGAATTTCGCTGCGGATTCTTCGTCACGAATCCGCTGCAAATAATTCGCGTTGGTTTGGGAGAGCCTTAAAGCATATCTACTCCAGGGTTAACATTGGCTGAGTTCGGATTTGCACTCCACGGAGCGGAACGGTATGAGCATGGATATCGTGACGTCACACAGAGTGCGCCCTGAACAAGGTCATAAGCTCGGATAAGCCGAATAGATCGAAAAAAATCCTGAAAACCCTTGTCTCCCTTGCAAGGATAATACACAGTACTAAAAGGATTGCTTATCGACCTCGTTTTTGGTAATCACCGCCGTATTGGTGTGTCACCATTTCCGACGTCATTACCAAGTCTTCAGCTGTTTGCACTAGAGGTCGTAGTTTCGAATTTACATTTATTGAAAAATATTATTTAGTACTGTTGATTATCGTGTCCTAGATGGCGTTAAGATCAAGATTCGCTCTTCGAATATTATTTAATTTTGATTAATATAGTAGGCAAAGAGGAAGATGAAAACGAGATATAAAAAAAGAGTTGGAATGTTAATTAATTTAGTAAAACCAAGTATGCATAAAGCAAAAGCCCGCGAATCATAAACTGTAGTGCAAACAGTCAAGGTGAGAAAGGACATGCTGGTACGTCACAACTGGTGATTTGGCGTGGTGGGGAGCTTCAGATTTGTTCCACACAGGCCTTATGAGGATAGGCTATCCTGTAGTAGTAGTGTAGTTCTTGGTAGTGTGTATTATCCTTGGGCTGTTTGCACTACAGGTTATGATTCCGCGGGCTTTTGCTTTATTCATATTTGCCTTGCGTTCGGTATTTTGCTCAAAGAGCAGAGCGATCAGAGCGTGCCGATGCGGAGTAGTAATCACGTGACCAGCGAGCGCACAGAGCAGTTAAACGCTGTATCATAGTCGTCATAGTCCTTTTAATTTCAATAAACGAACGCGAAGGAGCCTGCACCGAGCACACTTTTTTTATTGAACGAACCGTAAATTTAAGCTCGGAGAATTCAGATCATAATTACCGAACGCGCACGGTTGGAAAAGAGAGCGAGCTCAGGGTACGTGCTCGATTTTAACCCGAACACAAAAGAGAACACTCGGAGTGCTAAAACGATCATGATCTTATCGTTTCGAATGCGCTCAGAGTCTACAGAGTGTAGCCGATCTCCGCCAAGTTGTATTCCTTTCACACCTAGGAGGAGCTCCGGAACAGCTCCGGGGCGTCACACGCCTATTCCTTTCGAAAAGTGTTTGTGGCACCTGAGTACTCAAGCCATTTAAATGCATGAAAGCCAGCGTATCTGTTCCTTTCAAATCGGGGTCGACTAACACCGTAGCCAGTAGCTCTAGTGTTTTAAACTCTTGAAAGGAATACAACTTGCATCCACCAAGGGCACCAAACACCAAAGTTATTGAACACAGCGAGGCTGTGACACACAGCCCATCTTGACGGGGATCCATCTGACTCTGACACCCACTGTATCTGACACTACACTCCGACTGTTGAGTTGAGGTTATGATACCTTGTTTCATAACATAACAAATCATTGTGAAATATTTTAAATTATTTATCAAATCAAATTTTAATTCAAAATTACCGTTTTGTATAGATTAGTTTGTTGTCGTAAAGCAATCTTCATATGATATCAGGTCAAGTTTATCAGTGTCAAGAGTTCACAAGCCTCCTGCAAGTAACCCAAAGCAAAAATGTTTAGACCAAGAGTTTGGATAAATATAGAAAACCAGTAAGCAGTTTTGGGTAATTGAAAAATTATTTCTAATTTCTTTTTTTATATTAAAAGGCTAAGGACTAAATCCCATCTTGAAGCTCTAAGAGAGAAAATTGCTAATGGCCCAAGCTTGCAAGAATTTGTTAATGACCCTAACCCTGATGCAAAAGTTGATCCAGAAGAATGGAATGATTATGATGGAAAATTGAAAAGAGAGAAAGGAGAAGAGCAACGTTTAAGGTAACTAAATTACTTATATATTCTAACATACATTAATGGGGTTCAAGGTTGCCTCCTTGGCTAAAACGCACTATACCTATGGGAAAAAACTACATGAAAATCAAAGAGCAGTTGAGGGGGCTCAATTTGCATACTGTATGTGAAGAGGCTAGATGTCCAAACATTGGAGAATGTTGGGGAGGTGGGGAACATGGCACACAAACTGCTACTATAATGGTAAATTAAATAAACTATGAGTTTATGGTAATTTATCAAATTTTTCTTTGTCAGTTATTAGGTGATACATGTACCAGAGGCTGCAGATTTTGTTCTGTGAAAACCTCCAGAGCACCTCCACCACCTGATCCTAATGAACCTGTCAATACAGCCAAAGCTATAGCATCTTGGGGTCTGGATTATATTGTTTTGACATCAGTTGATAGGGATGGTAAGTTGTTGTAAGACTATTTTTTTGGGTTATTATTTATAAGAATAAGAAAAAGTTCTTTTGAGTATGGGACAACAGATTTATCATTTTAAAATTTGACGGTCTAGCTAAAAAAAATTATAATGATGGCCTTTATTTTTTTATTTCGAATTGTGTTACAATAGTTAATGCAGATATACTAACGCAAAGGCAACATGGAGAAAAAAAAAGACAAGTAAAAAAACTGAATACTGTCCGCCCAAGTTAAGAACACCTATTAAAAGAATGTGAAGAATTTAAGTTCATTGACAACCCTTTTTAGGCATCTTGTGGGCATTATTCTTATAAAGTCTACCACCAAATAAATAAACTCAGGCACAAGAATGTTCAAAAAATGTAAAGAAAACATAAAAAATATCCAGAGCAGCCCTGTTTCATTTTATCTGCACTGCAATACTCCATCTGTTCTACTGTATCTGCACTATTCTATCTGATCTACTCTTTCTGCACCACTTTATCTGATCGGAATAGTGGAATAGTTCTTTTTGGAATAGCTCCAGTTCCTTAGCAGTATTCTGTTCTACTGTATCTGCAATGAAATTACCGCACAACGGCGAGCTTCGTTCTAGGTACCTATCATATATGGCGCCGTATACAAAATGGTTGTGGCGGACTCATAACCTGGCTCTCTGCCACTCGACACCAGCCGGACGGAGCATTCCGAACAGTCGCCACGTAACACGGCTGTCAAGGGATGCCTAAGAGGAGAAACGGAAGTTAGCCACAGAACGTCAATGGTCAAGCGTCAAGAAATGACAGGGAGACCAGTTTGCGCTCTTTCAGAATGAACGAACCAACAACAAAATAAAATACACAATTAAAACATTGTCATTCTATTTATTTTTGGACATTTTTACTGTGAAGAACAATTAAAAATAAAGTGCTTTCCTCAAATTGTTTTTGTGCAAAGTGTGTGACAATAAAATCCACATGGTTTGCAATGAAAATGTGACGGTAAACTTGATATCGGTTATAAGAGATGGCGCCGTATGCGGGCTTGGTGAGTTTTTTGTTTTTGTTTTTGGATTTTTTTCGATTTATTATCTTAGGATGGACAAAGACAAATCCAATAAAGCAAAAATCATAAAAATCAGTCCAGCCGCAACTGTGTTTTATATATATAGATTATTGGTTATTATCCCTGCCCTCTGAAACTGTAATACGAATACGCATGGCGACCGCCTATGCAGCGGCCGTGGGGCCAGCATAGTTTTTTTCTATATTGGGGATCCGTTTGCATGAAAACTAAGTAAGTTATCAAAAAAATCACAAGAATAAAAAAACTTCTTTGGTTCTTTGGCTACAACTTTGTCGCTTACTATACATATACATCTATCTTCAAAAACAAAAAAGTTTTCTCGATCGAGTATTTCTGGCTGCAATTTTAACAATTTTCGTGTCCCTAACTTTAAAAAAATATATTATGGTGACTCGTAATTTTTTTTCTGCATTTCTGTTATGTTAGTCGTAATAACAAAGGTCTAAATTGGCTCTCCAAAAAATTTCAATTTAACCTCATTTATTTGATAAAATTTACTACGCGAATAAGTCTTGAAATCACATTCTAGTAGCATTATCGAGTTAGTTGTTTTACCTAGAGAAAGGATTTTTCAAATATCAGCATTAGCCTTTTGACATCAAGACCGCTATAAACAAAACCCTTTAATATATGTGATGACTTCATGAACTCTTGATTTTTGAGGATAGTTACATAAGTAAAAGAACCAAAAAGCCTTATCGCTTCAGGATGCCTTTCCATCTCCAAACTATCACCTAGATTTACTAGATTGGAACTCTTCCTTCGCATATAGTGGAAGATTTACCTTGACATTCTTCAACTCCATTATATGCTTCCCTGTCCTGTGTTAGCACTTGAATGCTAGTTATCATATTCCTGTTAGTCTCTGTTAGATCCGCAAGATTGTGTTTAGGCTCCCTATCAGTCACTTTAAAATATCTCAAGCTGTGCTGTGCAGTCAAATCCAAATTCGTGTTAATAAGATCCAAAATTTTTGAACAAGTGGAAGTATTTCTGCCTTCTAGTCATTTATTTCAGTATAAGTAGATCTCCTATATTCTCTGCGAGTATAGTGGTGTCATCAGCATAGCATATCTGATGTGGTTAATTATTTCTCCTCCTATCTTTACATAAGCTCAAAAAGCAACTTAAAAAAAAAAAAATCTCCAGCATATGGGTATCCATATTGAATTGAACTTTTTTCTTATTTATAATTAATCTATAAAAAAAATCCTATGTAATCCCCATAATTATTTTAGATTTACCTGATGGTGGTTCCAATCATTTTGCAGAAACTGTGAGAGAAATTAAGAAAAGGTAAATATTACAGTCAGATAAATTAATATTTCCTTTCCTAATCTAAAATTTTTACAGAAATAAAAATATTTTAGTAGAGTGTCTTGTGCCAGATTTTAGAGGCGACTTGGATCAAGTTAAAAATATCGTAAATTGTGGTTTAGATGTTTATGCTCATAATATTGAAACTGTAGAGAAATTGACACCATTTGTGAGGGATAGGAGAGCCCAGTATAGGTAAGAAATAACTTTTTTTGTTTGCAATCTGAGATCTTTGTGGAGTCTATATTTTTTTTGTTCTAGGCAATCGCTGTTTACACTGGAGAACGCAAAAAAAATTAATCCAAACCTAATAACAAAATCGTCTATAATGTTAGGCCTTGGTGAGACTGATGAAGAAGTAGAAACCACTCTCAAAGAATTAAAACAAGCTGGTGTCGATTGTGTTACCCTTGGACAATACATGCAGCCAACTAAAAGACATTTAAAGGTAACATTAACTTCGATAAAACATTGCTTTTATTTAGTTGTACTATTTCTAGGTTGTGGAATATGTTACTCCTGCAAAATACAAACATTGGGAGACAGTTGGTCATGAAATGGGATTCTTGTATGTAGCCAGCGGTCCTTTGGTCAGAAGTTCTTATAAAGCTGGAGAATTTTTCATAGGCAGCATTTTGAAAAATAGAAAAAATAATGCAGTTTAGAATATTTTATGCATAGAATGTTGTTTAGATAATTTTGTTTGCTGAAAATATATGTTTTTGTTAGATTACTGATTTTTAGGGACCAATAAGTTTGAAAAGAAAATTATTTTTTCATCAATATAGCTAGCACCTATAGTAATGTCACGGCTTTGGGGTGCGTGACATTAATCTTGGGTTCATTTATTCCAAAATTAAAGTAAAATTAACACAATAATTTTTTCCACATTACTACACGCTCTGACACTGATTACTTGACTAATTAACTCAAACAACTTAACTCTTACAATAATCACTATCTAAAACGTATCACAGCCAATCTTGAACTTAAAACTTCGAACTAATACCGGCTTTTACTTATCTGTAATCCATTCTTGTAAAATCCAGAAGAAACGCGATAGCCCTTTTTCGCGAATAGCACTGTAAAATCTAGAATCAGCTGTCCCTAATATTCTAACCATTGAACTAGTCTTTAGCAGCAAATGTTTATAAAATTCTGTGATCTATGAATCTCTGATTCTCTAAATTGTCCTTTAAGACTCCAATTTGTCGATTATTTTTTTCTTCTGCGAGTGCCCATCCGTTCCAGAAGTTTACATTCTGGCTGTTATTTACTGTTCTGTAAAAATTAAAAATTTCCAGCGATGTCGTTGAAAAGCAAGTGCTAAGGTTTTTCAACCAAGATATCCTTGCTGGGAATATTTTTCTAAGTATTTCTCCCTGTGATTGTCACAGTAGTAGACTATACCAATGCATAGTGCCCATAAAATACTCAAGTTTTCCTTTTCTAAATATTTTAATTTCTGGCAAAATGTATCAAGACGATTCTAAAGTAACTTATTTAAAATATCTAGGTAGTTACTTTTATAAAGTACATACATATTTAATTAAGATATTTTTGTGGAAAATTAGGTACCTTCCCCTTTGTAGTAGGTAGTAGGTACCTATAGTTACTTTCACAGAAGTCACTAGATATTTGCTGCGATTTATTGGCATTAGAAAGTCATTTTCATAATTATTATTCCTATAACCCTCTACTCACCTGATTGTATTCGACCGCTTACACCTCCTTAACTATGTGTTAATTAAGTAATCTTATGAGATTCATTCAAAAATAAAACTAACGGAATCATAATAGTATTTGAATTTTATTTAAATAGGACAAAAACTAATCTAATGATATCAACCTATGCCACTAGCAGTATAGTCTAGGATTTAAAAAAAATAGACAAAGTAAAAGAATTTATGCAAATAAATATGGATCCTAGAGTTTAAATATAGCATAGCTAAAAATTAGGATTTGTAAACTAACATAAAAATAATAATACATACATGCACACCATAAGTAAAATTACCAATTTTTGTTGCACATTTAATTTTGGTAACATGCGTCCATGAGGAGCACAATTTTATATGGTTGACCATATTTTATTCAATATTCAATTTAACTTTCCCAACACATTCACAATGACATGATGAATATCTTATACGATAATTACTTGTCATTCTCTCTTTACACAAATAAATATAAAATATTCATTAAAATAAAAATATGCTCGATAAAAATTTTAAAATAAAAATACCTATTCTTACTAAGTACTTATCTATTTAGTGGAAAAATGTTATTGTACAGAAAATTCCATGTATTAGGTAGGTAAAAAACAAACCATGTTTTCGACAAAGAATGTTTTAAAGTATAAATTATTATTTTTTTCAATTACTTAGTCCATTTATTCGGAAGTAACAATACATCTTATAAGCTGTTACACATTTTATGGATTAACAACACGATTACTTTTCTGGTTAATCCAAAATACATGAAAAAATAATAATTGATTCTGTACAGTTTGGTATAAAACTATTTACAGCTACAATAGGCAACTATTGTTGAAATCTTTGCCAATGTATGCAACACAATACAGAGAACATTTTGAACTAAAAAACTGGTGTGTCATAAAAAATATTTCTTATGTACATTCCTTAATTGTATATAATATAATATTATCAGCTATTCTAGGTTATCAAAAATCATTATAAATAATAAAAAAATAAACTTAAAAAGACATTGCCCTAAGATTTCCCGAAATTCTTGGATGCGAGATATTTTGTTAAACATTCCTTTTTGAAATTGTCAATAATAATTCAACAGTCTAATAAGTATGTATATGCTTTGATTTTAAATACCTATGCATATAAAATACAGATTTCTGACCAGGAAAGTAATCTATATTAAATCATTTTGTGGTCATCTGGGGACCTATTTTACCATTGCCGTTTTTCATAGTGTCCTTTTTTGGAGGGCTTGGGGACAAACAGATGACGTCGTCGCTGTCGTCACCATTAGCATCTCCATTCTCAGCATTCATTGGAAGGTTTTCCCTAGAAAAAAATCAAAAGTTACATTGGGATTCCAAGTTTTCAATTTGATTTGAAAGTTAAGTGCAAGAACAAATTGTGTGGAGAAGACCAATCATTCATATTACAAATACCATGGAGTACTGTAGGTACCTCTACATTTAAAAGATGCAAACTTTAGCTGCTGATATCAATGAACTATTAACACAGATAAACGGAACAATCCATTGATAAAATAGCTTTGTTTTGGTTTTGGTTGACAACATGATAACAGGAAAGAACCTTCTCATGAGAACCCTGCTCCCCTGTTTCAAGAATACGGGCCCAGATAGACGGGAAGAACGAGAGTGAAAACAGTTTGCAAAGAACTGAAGTGAATTCTTGTGCGCAAGTTTTGAGGACAATTGGTAGAATGTGTCGGCACCACAAGATCTCCGCGTGTCACGTTGTAGAAGAATGTTCCTAATAGCTTTAGGTCTAAATACAATGTTGTCCATATAAGACCCAATATGTGGCAGTACCTGCGGCGCTCTGTTGTAGAATCGGATGCAAATTGTTTGGCAAAGAGATCTACCTTTTCCTTTGACGATACTACAATGGAATTATTGTCCTTGACTAAAGGTGGAAAGGAAGAAGATGTAATTTTTTTCCTATGGTCTTGGCACAAATGGCACAGGACCAAAAGGATCTTAATCCACAATAAATAAAATATCAAATACATAGAACAAGATTCAGGATTCAATAAGCTTCATTGTCGAAAAAATACAAATGTTTTATAAACAAAGCAGAATAAATTTAGTAGTACAAAAAATAAAATAAAATACAATAATAGTAATAGTATGGTGTTGTAGATCAAGACTTATTTTGAGTTTGCCTCCCATCATTTTTGAGGGATGAAAGTACATGATAAGGTAACCCTTATTCCGGAGGTAATACAAAATTGGAGTGTGCAAAAAGGCACTATCATCAAAAATCGAAATATTGATACCACCGTATAGAGAAAAAAATACTTTTTATACTCGCGTGCGCAAAGTGGTTACTTTGCACACTCATTTGAGTGCGCAAAGTTGAACTTTGCGCACGGAAATTCTTTGCGCACTATTTTTTTTTATGCATTATTATTATATATATACACTTGATTTTTCAATGTTTTGATGGTTTCTGGATAAACTTATATTCAAAAAGAAGGGTTTTAGCTGAATTTAGTGCTTAGTTAATGTGACGTTTCCCATTAAAAGTATCCAAATTGGATCACCTTCTACTAGTAGGAATTTGTGAAATATTGGGAATTTAAAAGAATTTCATAAAAATATTCTAGAAATTCCAAAAGATGTTGAAAGATTTTTGGGAATTTGATTTAAAAGAGATTTTGAGGAATTCCAATGGATTTTAAGCGATTTTTGGAAAATTTGTGGTAATTGGTCATATGCAAAAGACACGAACATATGCCATTGCTTAAGTTTTTTGAGATAATCATATTCAGATTTAATGCAGCAAAAAGGGAGGAGGTTGAGCAGAAGTATTTGCTTATTTGTATTATTCATATGATTGATTGTTTTACTGAGGTTTTACTATTTTAACAAATCAAATTCAACTTTTCTAAGACACTCGTAGAAAAAGTATTGTTCCTAACACTTGCGCAAAGTGTCTTTCCCGCACTTAAAGCTTATCCGAACTCCGCTTCGCGTCGTTCGTCTAATTGCTTTTTCGTGCGGGAAAGTATCACTTTGCGCACTTGTTAGGAAAATAACTAATTTTCTACTGACATTTCATAATACGCTATTAAACGATTAAAATCTGTATCATAATGAACTTCATTACGATACAGATTTTCATTATAATACTCATTTTTAATATTATACAATGTTGATAGATGGCAGCACTAGTTAAGATATTAAACATTTTAAACGGTGATTTTGCGTAAAACAATTATTTTGATAACTATAAAAAAGACTCCGAATTGTTTAAAAGTTACCTTAAGTTTGGACAAAGAATAATTATTATGGAAATCATGAATGATAAGGAAGAATTTTTACTTTCTTCATTATTATACATTGTCAATAGATGGCGCCACCATTTAAAAAAATTTGAATTTTTTTTTTTTTTGAATGTTGGCAGCACTCTTTTTATAGCTTTTCCATGGTAATTTAGCGAAAAACAATAATTTTATAAAAAAAATACTTCAAATTGTTATTAAAAGTTAATACCTAAAGTTTGGGAGAAGGCATTATTATGGAAATATTGAGCGATAACGAAGAATTTTCACCTCCAGAAATTACAGAAAAGGCGACAAATGCAGTTAATAATATACTACCGGACAAGTCCAAGAAAATTTACGAAAAATTATATGGACAATTTATGGATTGGAGAGACACCAAAAATACATCATCCTTCTCAGAAAATGTTTTGATAGTATATTTTGAAGAGTTACAACAAAAAATGAAACTTTCAACTGTATGGACGCATTACTCCAATTATAAAATCCCTATTCAAAGTTAAGCATAATGTTGACATATCTAAATATCATCAAGTTTTATCAATGGCAGTAGAAAAAATAGTGTATGCAACTCTCATGTAATGGCCATTAATACACTCGCATGTTATATACGAAACTCGCCTGCGGCTCGTTTCGTATCCTACAACATGCTATTAATGGCTATCATTACATGATCATTGCATAATATACTATTATTATTGGTCCAATGCACAATAAGGTCATTGTAGGAAGTATTTTTTTATAATCATTAAAAAAAATAATTACCATTAGCTCTTATGGCCGAAAAAAACTTTAAACGTAAATATCTCGGTTTCAATCGTGCAAAAATTTGGTTAAAAATCATCTTTTTTAAATATACCTTTCATTTAACGAAAAACAAAGGCTTAAATAAAAAAAAAAAAAATCTTTATAAAAGTTTTGCTTCTGTATTGTCCAGATAACAGTGCAAACCACGACAAAACGACAAAACAAGATGGCGAACGATTTGAACGTAATTTGTGGTGTCTGCAGTGTTAAATGTGGTTCTGGGTCAATTTCGTGTACAAAATGTGTCAAATGGTACCATTCTAAATGTGTAAAATTGTCTAATCATCAATTAAATCATTACAACAAAGAACTAAAACAACAAAACGGTGAAAGATGGGTTTGTGAATCCTGTCTGAACATTGAGGTTATGTCAAGTGAAAATCGAAACCAAAATAAAAGGAAAAAGCTGGATGATGGTGATTTTCCCGAGGAAATCGGAGGTAGAGACTGGTCGATAAACGACGTGATGAAAAAGCTTTTAGATATGGATAAAAAATACAACATTTTATGGTTGAAATACGAAAAACAAGTTGAAGTAAATCTCTGTAAGAAAACAGAAATGTCTCTTTCTAACACATTGTTTCTTATGACAAAAACTGAAATAATTTTTTTTCTCAAAAACCGTTAGAGATAAGCCTATCAAACTTTATATCATTGAAATCAGCGAAAGCGTAGCTTTCTAATGAACTATTAATATATAGGGTGCCCTATTGGAAAAAATCATGTCTATCAACTTAGCGAGACAATTTCGGAAAATCGATTTTCCGTTATGCCAAGAATTTGCCGCTTTTTTGCCGCTAATTAAATGTGGAATTAAAAAATTTGCCGCTCTTTTGGTTTTTTCTTAATTACGTGTTTTGCTAACTTGACGTCAAGATAGCGAGACAACATCATTAAATATGTCAGCAGTAAAAAATTACAAAAATTTGCCGGTTCTTTTTTTTCCATAATTAATCAAGTTTGAAAAAAAAAATCATTTGTTTCGCTAACTTGACGTCAAGTTAGCGAGACATTATCACTAAAAATGTCGGTAGTGAAAAATTGAATGAATGGAAATTTGCCGTTTTTTTGCCGCTAATTAGTTGTGAAAACCAAAAATTTGTCGTTTCTTTTTTTTACAAAAAATCAAGTTTGAAAAAAAAATCATGTGTTTCGCTAACTTGACGTCAAGTTAGCGAGACATTATCACTAAAAATGTCGATAGTGATAAGTTGAGTGAATGGAAATTTGCTGTTTTTCTGCCGCTAATTAGATGTGGAAACTAAAAATTTGCCGCTACCTTTCTTTTCATAAGAAAATCGTGTTCGAAAATAAAATAATGTTTTGCTAATTTAACGTAAAGTTAGCGAGATCACTAAAAATGTCGGTAGTGATAAATTGAGTGAGTGCAAAATATCGCGTTTGAAAAAAAATATCATTGTTCAATTGACATCAAGTGAGCAAAACAGTATCATTAAAGATGTCGGTAGAGAAAAATTGAGTGGTAGAGAAAAGCTGTGGAAATTTGCCGCTTTTTGCCGTTAATTAAATGTGAAAACCCAAAAATTTGCCGCTCTTTTTCTCCATGAAAAAATCGTGTTTGAGAAAAACTTGTGTTTCGCAAGCTTGCCGTTAAGTTAGATCGACATCAACACAAAAAACGAAGGGCAGTATAAAATTAGGTGAGTAAAAGTAAATGATCTCCCACCCTTGATTTTTATGCAGCCTGTAAGTATATTTTAATAAGTGAAACTCAACATTTGTTAGAGCAAATATTTATTTCTAAATTTTTTGAGAATAGTTTTACATTTTTTTTTTTCTTTAGCTTAGGAAAACTCTATTGAGGCCTTATAGGTTTCAAAAATCAGAAAGCGAAATATCGTGTGCTCATTTATACAGAAAATAAAATAAAATTAGAAATAAAATTAAATTGGGATAAAATGGAAATTATCGATAATTTTTGGCAAATTTTCCCGAATGCATTTTTAGTTGAAATAAAGCACGAGGGACGAGTGCCTTTTCCAGTAAAAAATGCATGAGAGCAAATTTTTCAAAAATTATAGATATATTTCCATTACTCGAGTTGTATTTTATGAGAGAATTTCATGAATCAAAAATTTAAATTTTTAGTACATCCTCGTAAGTATAAAATGTCAGCAATCAGAAAAAATGTCAAATGCCACCCGTTAGTAAGCAATTATCCAATCCGATAATCCTGCACTAGTACAAATTATCACGTAATCGTAATCTGATTGGTTGAAATCAACAATTAAAAAATGCCAGTTTATGCATGGGATCTGTGTCATTTGCGCGACAACCGTTTGCGCGAGGGAGAAAAGCGCGATACGAAAAGCGCGAGGGACAAAATCACGACGGAATAAAAACGCGACAGGACAAGTGCGCGATGGACAAAAACGCGACTGGATAGAAGCGCGAGGGAAAAAAGCGCACGGCTGCGCAAAAACGCGACTGGATAAAAGCGCTAGAAGCAAAAGCGCGAGGGGACAAAAGCGCGACAGAACAAAATCGCGACTGGATAAAGCCCGATTGGCCAAGAACGCGAAGTGCCTTACTACGAGAACTGGAGATCGTTTTCCAAAATACAAGATATTTTTCGTGGCTCCGGTTCAAAAGAACGATATTTAAAATAGCAACATCAAAAAGGCGACATATTGTTAAAGCGATATATCAAAATAGCGACATTTGGAACAGCGATATTCAAAATGGCGACATCTAAAAAAAACAGCAACATATCAAAAGAGCGACATATGTAAAGAACGAGATTAAGAACAGTGACAAATTAAAAGAGCGACATTTACAACGACGACCTCTAAGCAAAAGAGGGAAACATCAAATTGTTCCAATATCAAAATTATGTAGACTTACTCAAACTAACTCGTCCGTCTAGGGCAATCTCGTCCTCGTGAGTTAGCATTTTATTTAAAAAGCACTGCGCTCTCAAGAGACCCTGAGCAATCAATCAGTGAATTAACTTTGTTTTTTTAAATAAAATGCTTACGAGGACTAGATCGTACTAGGTGGACGGGTTATTTTGGGTTAGTTTGAGTAAGTCTGTATTGCGACATCAATTTGAACCAATAATAATAAAGCAAATACAGACTTGCTCAAACTAACCCAAAATAACCCGTCCGCCTAGTGCGATCTAGTACTCATAAGTTAGCATTTTATCCAAAAAAACAGTCAATTTATTTATAGCGACGGGTCCCTTGACCGCGCCTTGTTTTTCAAATAAAATTCTATTTAACGAAGACTAGATCGCACTAGGGCAACAGGTTAGTATGGGTTAGTTTGAGTAAGGCTGCATTTTTCTGAATATTATCGATACAATTTGATGTGTCCCTCTTTTGCTTACAGTCCTCGTAGATAGTTAGATACCTCGCGTTGTTGACTGTTGTCCAATCGTGCTTTACTCCAGTCGCGTTTTTGTTCCGTCGCGTTTTTGTTCCGTCGCGCTTTTGTCCCTCGCGCTTTTGTTTCTCGCGCTTTTCTCGCTCGCGCCTTTGTTTCTCGCGCTTTTATGCAGTCGCGTTTTTGTTCCGTCGCGCTTTTGTCCCTCGCGCTTTTAGTATCGCGCTTTTCTCCCTCGCGCAAACGACTGTCGCGCAAATGATACAGAGCCCAGTTTATGGTTCGAATACCAGTTTTGACAGATGAATGAAATTTTCTACCGACATTTTTATTGATACTGTTTACTGTTTTGCTAACTTGATGTCAAGTTAGCGAAATACATGATATTTTTTTCAAACGCGATATTTTCTTGAAGAAAAAGAGATAATTAGCGGCAAATTTCCACTCACTCAATTTATCACTACCGACATTTTTAGTGATCTCGCTAACTTTACGTTAAATTAGCAAAACACTATTTTATTTTCGAACACGATTTTCTTATGAAAAGAAAGGTAGCGGCAAATTTTTAGTTTTCACAACTAATTAGCGGCAAAAAAACGGCAAATTCCCATTCACTCAATTTTTCACTACCGACATTTTTGGTGATAATGTCTCGCTAACTTGACGTCAAGTTAGCGAAACAAATGATTTTTTTTTCCAAACTTTATTTTTTATGAAAAAAAAATAACCGGCAAATTTTTGATTTTTACAACTAATTAGCGGCAAAAAAACGGCAAATTTTCACGTACCTAGTTTTTTAGTGCTGACATATTTATTGATGTTGTCTCGCTATCTTGACGTCAAGTTAGCAAAACACGTAATTAAGAAAAAACCAAAAGAGCGGCAAATTTTTTAATTCCACATTTAATTAGCGGCAAAAAAGCGGCAAATTCTTGGCATAATGGAAAATCGATTTTTCGAAGTTGTCTCGCTAAGTTGATAGACATGAAAAAATCGGATATTGGTCAATATATCGAAATCGAAGCCAGACAGAAAAAAACTGAGAACGTCACTGAATTCTACTTGAAAAAGTGTTTCCAAAAAGTCTTTACGGAAATGAATTATTTTCATAAACAAAAAAGTTATGGAGACTTTACAATATTGCTCAAAATCGAGAATCGCCCTCTAGCGGCTAAACGGTTGAAGATATCAAAATGCAATTTGCACCAATCACTGGCGTAGCCAGGGGGGGGGCAAGGGGGCATTTGCCCCCCCCAAGACCCTTACATTTTATGAATATTTCTTCAAAATTAAGATAAACAGTCCCAAAAATAGCGTAAAGAAACCTGAAAAAGGGGCGTGGCACCCAAAAATTTCGCGCCTGCGACGCTAAGCCTCCGGCAGCCGTCGCGGTAGGGCCGCAAAAGACGCTTCCTGCAAATTTGCCCCCCCCCAAGACAAAATCCTGGCTACGCCACTGGCACCAATCAAGATTTCATGAAATTTGAGCGTCAGAGTGGGGGGTCTATTTTTTTCTATCTCTAAAAATAAAGGGTGTTTCCATAAGAAAGTGTCCAATTTGGCCCACCCTGTACAGTCAGTAAATAGGGAATGGTCACAAATGGAGACTAGAGTAGATTTAGAGGAGCTTGAATGTGATAGGACTTTTTATTTAAGGGAAACAAATGAAATTAGATTAGTTTGGTGCCAAAATAAACATACAAATAAATGTGATTGTTGCGAATGTTTTTATTTACATAAGTGTTTTTTTTACTGTATAACTTTGGTAATTTTAACGTTTTATTAGTCTGAATATTGTGTAGTCTGAATCAAATTATATCTTGCTCCGTTACCAGCGTTTAGCTGTTTAGGAGCGAATAACAAAGTACATAGCTTAACTTGTGCCTTAGATTATATGAAAAAAAGAAAAATTGTAATTTGTTATTTAATAAAAAAAAAAACCCACATATTTTTTGCTTCTAAATTAACAAAGATATAACAATAAACAATAAGAGATGTCAAGGGTTTATAGGAGACCAAGGTCTAACCGCCGAGTCTCTCGACTCGCTATGCATCTCTTTCAGTGTTGATGCATATGGATGGGATCTCTTTCACTCTGTTACATTATATTGTAGAGGGATTATTAATTATTCCAATTGAAGGCGAAGAATGTTTCATAGGGTGTATGGTGTATTCCTTTATAATTTGTCTTTGAGGAAAATAAAAAATAATAAGATAAATAATGCATATTATCATTATTATCATATATCACATATTATCAAAATACATATATATACATATCAAAACAGAGGCGTTTTAGGGTATTTTAAGATTATTAAAAAAAAAAACGCTCGGACACGTCAACTTTGTATTCAAGAGTAAAACTTTCTGACCCTATATCGGGTGGGGTGACTTTAACCCTTCCTTTTCAGATAGGGTAGATGCCGAAGATGGGTCTCGTCACAAGTGCGTTTTTTTTTTTAAAAAACTCAAGATATTCACTGTCAAAGTTGCTATGGGCTAAATAAGAAACAATTTTCTGGCCCTGGTATTCTCAAATTAACACTTCTTCACAAAATCTCAATACAAAAAAAAAAAAATTCAATTTCACCTACCTGAGATGAAAAACATTATGGAATTAATGACCAGTTAAAACTTCATTCTTACCAAAAAGATCTATACACTTCCAAATTGGAAATGGAATACGATGAAAAAATTCAAGATCTTCAAAGTAAAATTGATAATCTAAGTGATGAGAATGGTGGAATAGTTATTTACCTAACAAATGCGGAAAGTGATACTTTACCGCACGCAACAGCAGTTGACCCAACGACGCGAAGCGGAGTTCGGTCAAGCCGTTAAGGGCGGTAAAGGCACTTTCCGCATGTGTTAGGTACAAAATTTTACTTATGAGCATCTACATCTCCAAAAAAAGACATTTATAAAATTAATTAATGAATCAGATTAATTAATGAAATTAGATAAGATTTAGAAATGATAAAAAATCCATTTTCTGAAAATGAGAGGATTTTTGATTATAAATATCAAATTCTACTTTACCGCACACTTTGATTTTACTTTACCTACCGCATCCTATGCTGTAAAGTTAACTTTACCGCACACTATGCGGTAAAGTGCACTTTACCGCATAGTGTGCGGTAAAGTGATACTTTCCTTTTGCAAATACGTGCGGTAAAGTTCACTTTACCGCACGCTCGTAGGTAAAGGATATTTACATAGCAAGGCTTAAGAGGAGAACCGAAGATTTCGAAGACACCGTTTTTGACGCAGAAAAAGTGTATGTTGATCAAATTGATACGCAAAAAAAGGAAATAGCAAAACTGAATAATGAGTTTATGCAAGTACTAGCGAAAAATTCAAGTTTATTGGAAAACATTGAGGATTTGGAGGCTAGACAATTGAAGTTGTCAGGGGATTTGGATGAAGTGAATCTACTTAGGAATAGTATGTTGACTAGTATTGAAACACTGTCAAGAGAAAATGAGTACTATGTTAATGAAATGAAGAAAGCAAACCTAAAATTATTCAGACTAAAGGAGATTTGTGGAGCCATCACAGAAAAAGATACTTCTGCTGATAAAGAAACCCAGACCTGTACAAAAAATACTGAAGTATCATCGGGTAATATTAAATCGAGCCAAAAACTGCGTCGTAGGGTCTGGTACTGACTGATGATTTTGGTAAGAGGATTTTTAATCATCTACTTCGTCTTCTTGGGAATGAATTCTCTATGCAGGTTATATGTAAACCGTGTGCAAGATTTAAAGATGTTGTATCCAACGTTGATAATTCTTTAAACGACTTCACTGAATCTGATTTTGTCATTGTCTTAGCTGGTTTGAACGATGTAAATATTCATGTTAACGATATCACTTCCTTAGCAAATAAGTGCTTTCATACAATAGTTATTTAAAGAACTGGAGTAAAACACACAGTCTATCTTCACTCTTTATTTTACAAAAATAATCAGTTGGAAGGGGGGTTGTACATGTTTCGGATCTATCATAGATCCATCATCAGCATAAGTTCTACAAGTTACAAAATTATGGGAGTTATGGGGAGGGCCTGGGGTGTATACATCAAAAACTTACCAAATGGCACAGGGAAAATATGGTCATATACGACATGTCTAAGTATAATAATTATACATAAAAATATAAGTGTTCATGCTGTTATCAGCATAAAGTTGGTGGCTAAAGCCGCATCCAACACAGAACATATTTACAAAACTGGAATAGAGGAAGCTTGTGAGTACGATTTCAAAAATTACGTCAAAGTTTCAACAATAGTTATTTGTTTTACTAGGCAGAAAAGTACAAGATCTAATGCCGCGGCTGGTGTTTCATAGCCGAGGCTAGGAAACCAGCCAAGGCATTAAATCTGCTTTTCTGCCATGTAAAACATTTAATTTTTTCTCCGAATGTTCAAATTCACACAGGAACATCTTTTTTATATTTATTTCATTCATTATAATTATCCAAATAATTAAATTATTTTGACAATTGTCATTGTCACCATCAATTTCAAATACCAAATTGAGTGAAATTATTACCTGGAACGTTGTGACACTGTCACTTTTAATGCCTAGGCAGTAAAAGTCCACTTTTACTGCCTAGGCAGTAAAAATACAACTTTTGATCCTGTCAAGTGTCATTAAAAGGCCGCTTTTACTGTCATTCGGAGAAAATAGTATATTGTTGTATTAGGAGTAGAAGCTTTACTTTTTTGTGCTGAAGCAGTAGGTTTGCGAGCCGAACGTAGTGAGGCTTCTACTCCGTATGCAACACACTATTTTTTCTCCAAACGAATGGGGTAAGCTCGGGGGTAACTGAATGGTTGAGCGGCAGTAAAAGTACGAGCGGCACTAAAAGTACTTTTGCTGCCGCTCCAGCGGCACTAAAAGTACTTTTGCTGCCGCTGGGGTTGCCAAGCAGCATAGAAATTAAATTTCTACCACCTCGACAGGTGTTAACCTGCTGGATTTGCCTACCAGCATAGAAATTAAATTTCTGACATCTTGACAGGGGTTAACAAAGTGACGTTTTTTTGACGTTTGGAGAAAAACTTGATTTTATGTACTATTCCTGTTGTTGATATTGTCAATGGTTCATCTTACAATATTCGAAATGTAAATAACCAAATTTGCTACATCTATTTTAAAATACTTTTCCAACAATGTCGAAATGCTAGACCTTAGAGATAAGTTTTTGTTTAGAGACTATAAAGTCAATAGTTGTTACTTGAAATATTTTATACTTAATTTCAACTCTAGAGGACTGGATAGTAATTTAAGGCATATCCGATTGGCTCAAAAGGTTACTCAAAGTGCACCTCACATTGGTCATAGCCAGACTAGTTTATCAGTAAATCGAGATTCTTCTTTTTTAGGATAAGTAATAATAATAATAATGAGCATTTTTCAATAATGTTATTCAATGTGCAGTCAATTAGAAATAAAATAGATGAATTAAACATGTTTTTAGATAGTATAGGTTGTCCAGATGTACTGCTTTTAACTGATGAGCCTATATCAATACCTGATTATAATATGTTATCGCAATACTCGAGATCAGGCTCTAGTCATGGGGGTACCTTAATAATTGTTCGCAGTTCACTGTTGAATGTATGTTCATTTGTTGATTATAAAAATTTCAACCATATGATTGTTGAAAAGGAGTTTGAATTTTCAATAATTAATGTGCCCAAATTAAATGTATTTATTGTTTGTCTGTACAGGCCGCCCAGTGCAGACGCCTCAATGTTTATATCTAGGTTGGAGTTGCTTCTTACAGGTTTTCCTTTACATGCTTGGCTTATTTTGGCTGGCGATTTTAACGTAAATTTTGCAGATAAAACACAAATTCATTCACAATTGCTGTCTAGTTTGTTGGACTCTTTTGGCTTGACTATGCATGGGAGCCTACTCGGCTTACTAAATTTTCCTCAACTTTAATCGATTATGTGTGTTCTAATAGAATAGATGTGTTTGTCTTTTGTTCTGTGCTAAGCGCGGGCCTGTCAGACCATGAAGCCGTTTTATGTAATTTTAAAGGTCAAGGTAGGCTTTACACAAGACATAATTATAGTAGGTTTTCGCAACTATGTTCTGGGAGCGACTGGAATAATGTATTGAATTCACCTGATCCACTTGCACGGTTTTACACCCTATTATCTTATAACTTTAATATTGCATTCCCTCTTATACCAATAAAGAAGAAGATCAGACAGCCTTGGTTCACTAAAGGAATAAGAGTCGCAGCCCGAAGTATGCGTTCCTTGCACATGCTCCGAAAGCATTTTTTTGATAGTGCCTTTTTTATGTCATATTTTGCTAAATATCGTCAATTATATAGAAAATTAATTCGAATCACCAAACAAAAGTACTATTCTGATCGAATATCAAACTCCCATAATAGGCAAAAAGAAAGTTGGAGAATTCTAAGAGTTGATTGACAAAACTGGTACATCTACATCTATTAACTCAGATCTTACTTCTGAACAATTGAATGCGTTTTATCGCTAAGTGGCAGATAATCTGTCTTCCAATATTAATTCGACGGTTGATGCTTTCAGTTTTCTTGGGGATTTGTTTATTCCTAATTCATATTATTTTTATCCGACCGATATTCAAGAAATTAGAATGATTTTCACTAAAATAACAAATTTGAACTCTTCTGTATGGGATGACATATCATTGAAAATATTTGTGAGGCTTACAGATCAAGCGCTACAAACACTTGCGGAAGCAATTAACAATTCTTTTCTTACGGGAACTTTTCCTCCTTGTTTGAAGATGGCCAGAGTTGAGGCATTATTCAAGGGAGGAGACAGCGAGTCAGCCTCAAACTTTAGACCAATTTCATTGCTTCCAACTATGTCTAAGATTATCGAAAAGCTTGTGAAGAGTCGTATGGTCAGCTACATCAACAGGCATGGGTTTTTGAGTAAGGATCAGTTTGGTTTCCGAGATTCTAAAAATACAAATGATGCAATGTTTTCTCTATTGCGAGGTGTGTACTTTGGTTTGAATGATGGTGATGTTGCGGCAGCGGTATTCTGTGATCTGGCTAAAGCTTTTGATTGCGTAAATCTAAATCATAGATTATTACTCGGCAAACTTGAAATGTATGGTTTCAGAGGCAGATCACAGGACTGGATATCGTCTTACTTGTCTGATCGCTGTCAGTCAGTACGCTTTAATGGCCAGGAATCCAAATTTCGAGATATTACATCGGGCGTTCCTCAGGGCTCGGTACTGGGACCTTTGTCTTTTTTAATTTACATTAACGATCTTTCGAAGATAAACGTGTCAGGTCAGTTCACGATGTTTGCTGACGATACGACGATTCTATGGCATGACAGGGATGCAGGGAATTTGGAAAACAGGATGAATATTGACATTTTGCGTATCAGTGAGTGGTTCAATGCAAATTTTTTAACCCTCAATATCTCGAAAACAAATATTGTTTCTTTCAAGTGCCACCCAGGTAATGTTTCATTGAATTCAAAGGTAGTTCAGGGCCTACAGCTTAATAAATTTTTGGGCCTACATATTGATGAAAAACTGAAATTCGAATGCCATATTTCTCAGTTAATTATAAAACTTTGCGTTGAGAATGTGTCTCCTATGGCGGGTAGCGTATATTTTGCATTCATTGATTCCCATTTGCGGTATGGGGTCTGTTTTTGGGGATCATGTTCGGATCACCTGTTTAAGTCAGTTTTTGCTTTGCAGAAGCGAGCTATTAGATTTTTATGTAAATTGAACATCCAAGAATCCTGCAGACCTTATTTTTTATCTCTCAGAATATTACCACAGCCATGTATATTTATATTAGAATCGGTCTGCCTCACGCATAAGTTCCACAATGAGATCGTGGCAACTGGGACTTATGCAACTCGGTCTTCACACACTGCCGCTCTACCTATCCCGTCATCGACCTTAGTCAAAAAATCTATTATTTACAATAGTAAAAAACTTTTTAATCGCCTGCCCTTGAGTGTCCGTAAAATAGGCAATCCAGGTCAATTTAGAAAAGTGGTGAAGAAAATACTCATTGGCAAGGCTTACTATTCCGTTGTTGAATTTTAAAGTGACACTTTTGCTTAGTGTTTGTTTGTTTACAAATAAGCCTGTCTTATATTTTACCCACTGACATAAAATGTTCTGTTTCAAGTTTTGTTAGATATTTTAAGTATGTCGCCTTTTACGAAGTGTCTTTTATTTCTATTTATTTTGATTTTTTAATTTATTTTATTTTATTTTATAATTTTGCAGCACACTGGATCTTTTCTTATTTAACTTTTACTTTTATTAATCCTATTTTTAAGTTTGCTTTGATAATGAGATGTCATAATTGTTCTTATATCAATAAAGCTATTTTTGACTTTGACTTGACTTTGACATACGGAGTTTCAACGAGAATCAAAATACCTTTAAAACAAAGTACCATTCGACCTGGACCTACCTTCCATATCTTGGTGAAAAGAGTGAACGTTACCCTTCATAAAGGGCGATGTGATGAATAAAAACACATCGAAATTATTAGAAAAGTGTTTCTGAAAAAATGAAAATTGACGTATCCGAGAGGAAAGCGTTAATTTGAGAATAAAAGGGCAAGAAAATTGTTTCATATTTAGCCCATGGCAACTTTGACAGTGAATACCTTGAGAACTAATCATTCGATTTTCAAAAAAAATACGCACTTGTGATGAGAATCAAAATAGCTTTAAAACAAGGTACTACTTGACCTACCTTTCCTATTTAAAAAAGATGCGTGCAAGTCCCGATGGGGTCAAAAAGTTTCCCCCTTAAATACAAAATTGACGTTTCCGAGCGTTTTTTTAATCAACCTGAAGATATCCTAAAACACCTCTGTTTCGATGTTCGTGAAACACCCTGTACATGTATTTCTATAACATGATTAATTTATCTTATTTTACATTTTCCTCAAAGGCAAATTATTATAAATTAGTAATACACCATACACCCTATGAAACATTATTCGCCTTCAAGCGGATAAATTAATAAACCGTATACAAAATAATGTAACAGAGTGAAAGAGATCCTATACGTATCAACACTGAGAGAGATGTATAGCGAGTCGAGAGACTCGGCGGTCAGATCTTGGTCTCGCATAAACCTTGACATCTCTTGCTTGTTTATAATTAAGGTACCTGTCCCAAATAAGGCCATGTTAAGAAGTTTTATTTTTTTCTTTACATTATCCACCAAACCCAACAAAAATTACGAGCTTATATGTGAAGTGTTTCGCTTCTATTACTTGAATATTAACACCAATTTATTTATTTTTTCATATAAGTGGTGGTTTTTGCGTAAAACAAAGA